CGACCACCTGCTCGCCTTCCTCCCGAAGGGTTCGTATGAGGAAGATCTTGTGGAAGGCGCTTTTCGCACGCCGTGCACCACGCGGGCGATTGCGCTCAAGAATGCGGACTGCAAGCTGGTGGCGTCCGCGGTGAATGCGCGGATCAAGGGCCCCATTGAGAAGGCATCGCCTGCCCCCCAGCGGGGCTTCCTGCAGGGCCGCAACTTCCTGGACAACATCTGCCTGCTGGATGCCACTGCGCGGGCTGCGGGGCTGCAGGAGTCGGGCAAGCCCATCATGGCCCTGTTCGACTTTGGCGACGCGTTCCCGTCTCTGATGACCGAATGGATGCTGCTCATGCTGGTCCGCTCGGGGTTCGTCGGAGGCGTTCGGTTTGTGCTGGAGGCGCTCTACTGGCTTCCCACGGCGTACGTGGAGCTCGCGGGCGCGATGGTGCGGTTCGTTTGCGTCTCGTGCGGGCTCGCACAGGGATGTCCGTCTTCTGGGAGTCTTTGGGCCATTGCAATGAACCCGTTCATTCATCACATGATGCAGTACACGGACCGAGACGCCAGTCGCCTCTCCGCCATCGGGGTTTGTGCTGACGACGTCGGGGTGGTGCTGCGATCGCGCCACTTGCTCCGTGGGATGTGGCGGGCCTTCGCTGCTGCGCGGGCGCTCGCGAGCTTGCACCTGAAACTCCACAAATGCGTGCTGATCCCGCTGGAGGCTAAGTTCTCCGACGAGCTCGTCGCAGATCTCAGAGGATGGCTGGCCGAAGCTCTGTGCGAGTGGAGCGGCATGCAGGTGCGCGACCAGGCGGAGTACCTGGGCTTCGTTGTCGGCCCTGGTGCGACACAGCGGGACATCTGGAGGAAGGCGGCCGCAAAGTGGCTCTCCCGCGTCGTGGACATTGCGATGAGTGGTGCGGCCCCGTCGCTAGCTGCTCGGCTTTACAATCGTCGTGCTCTGCCTGTTTTAGGATATCTTCAACAGCTGGCGGCCACCCCGAAGTTGTTGCTGGCCAAAGAAGGGTGGGCGGCCGCCAAGCTGTGGCACATGCCCCCACAGGCGCTGGGCAGGCATGACTTCCTGGCCTTAGGTGCGTGGGCGCCTGGCCTTCGCATCCGCTCACTGCTGGCCACGGGCTGTGCGGCGGCCATGCGATCGGCCCTCTCCACGGTGAGCAACTGGAAGGAGCTGCACGCATGGCTGCAGGCACAGGTCCAGGACCACGGGAGTCTTTGGATAATTGGCAGCGGCACTTTGTCGCCGCCGTTTTGGCAGACCACGCCCATCGTACAGTTCCTGGCGTCGGCGCAGGAGGATTTTGTGAATGATCGGGCGCTCGCGCGTCCTGCTGCCGCTGCGAGGATGGCACTCGTCAGTGCATGCCGCGACGCAGCTGAGCGGGGCGTGCGGGTGCACACGCAGAAAGCATTGTACTCTTCTTTGCACGCCTCGCTCCATCCTGACCTCCTCCACCTCCTGATTCAGCGACGCTTGAAGGCATGGGGACTCGAGGTTGAAGGCCGCGTCGGGTGTCCCAGGGCCTGCCGTTCCCACGTGGTGTCATGTAAAGCGCGGTGGGCCGGCCTGAGAGATGCGATTTCGCGCCTGGCTCCGTCGTGGCAGAGTGCGATTCTTAAGACAGTCTCAGGCGCTTGGCTCACCTCGGGCCGCCTTCACGTGCAGACGGGCATCGGCGAGTGTCGCTTTCGGTGCAGGGAACCGCCTCTGGTAGCTGCACCCGACACCTTTTCGCACTATTTGGACTGTAATGTTCTATGGTCGATTGCCTACCCACCTCAGGCCGAGATTCCGAGTTGTGTAGTCTGTCGTCTTGGCCTAGGTGGATCACCCAGCCCATCCACTATTGAGGCTGTGGTCACTGCATATCATATTTATAACTCTGCCAGAGTTTTGTGCCCGCCGCCCAACCCCTCTGAGGAAGCTTGGGAAGGCCACTTGTACGAATTGCGGCGTGCTGCATGCGCACTCGTCGAGCTCACAAGAACTCGAGAGGCTCCGTAGGGCTCGTTAGGGCTCGCTGGTGACCTCTGAGGACCCCCTTTGAGTACGTGCGACACACACGCACACACACACGCAGACACGCACACACGCACACACACACATACACACATACACACGCACATACACACTCACGCTCACCCTCACACTCACACACATACACATACGCATACACATACACATTCACCCACACACACACACACACTCACACTCACACACATACACATACACACACACATACACACATACACACATACTCACACACATAATCACACACTCACACACACACAAGCACACACAAGCACACACAATCACACACACACACACCACACCACACCACACCACACCACAAACCACAACACCATACCACACCACACCACACCACACCACACCACACATCACAACACAACACAATACAATACAACCCAACACATCACAACACAACACAACACAACACGATACAGACCCACTGATCATGGGCCCGTGATTCACGCAGGGATCCACGTCGGTGCGCAGATGGGGATCCACGTAGGGTCCACGTCTCCTCCTCCTCCTGCTGCTCCTTCTTCTCCTCCTCCCTCCTCCTCCTCCTCCTCCTCCTCCTCCTCCTCCTCCTCCTCCTCCTCCTCCCCCTCCTCCTCCTCCTCCTCATCCTCCCCGTCCTCTTCTTCTTCTTCCTCCTCCTCCTCCTCCTCCTCCTCCTCCTCCTCCTCCGCCTCCCCCCCAACGCCACGACGGTGCACAGCTGCCGTCGCCCTGCGTCGAAGTAGGCAGCTCTGCACGAGCACGATCTCTCGGAGGGCCGCGCGGCTCTTTCGGCTCTGCGCAGGGCGCTCTCCTCTCCCCCTCGGCGTGCGCGAGCGCGCCAGGGGCGCCGCTGGGGGGGGGGGGGGGGGGGCGCCGCCGTGGGGGGATCCGCCAGGACTCGCGCAAGTTTGTGCTCGTGCCGATGACTTCGGGCGGGTAGTGAAATGTCGGGGGCGGCAAAGAGGGGGGTGACGACTAGGGGGGGGTGGATATCATGGCGGGGGCCATGATATCTTCCCATATTTCATGGCGCCTCTTCTCATTTCATTACGTCCCTGGCCCCCCCGCTGGGCCGCGCACATGCCGCCGGTCATGATTTGCACCCCTCCCTCTTGGACACCCCCCTTTTTGCCGCCTCCGAGTAGTGAAATGGGGGGCGACCCACATGGGGGTGAAGAAAAGGGTCCTCAAGGGAGCCCTCGGGGGCCCCTTTCTGGGCGCCAGCTGGCCCCAAGAGGGAGCCCTAAAGGGAGGGCCCCCATGTAGGGCCTTTTTCTTCACCCCCCATCTGGGGCGCCCCCCATCACCACCCGCCCGATTCTAGTCGACCTGCCCCCGGTGCCCCGCGCCCGCGGATCGGCTGTACATCAGGGGGGGGTGGGGGGCAATAGGCAGGGGAGGGATGGGCGCACTTTTCAGGCACTGTCGGGGTGCAGTGGCAGTTTAGGGGCCGTGAGGCGCATTTTGGGCCACTTTGCCGCAGTCCTCGATCCCCTCCGCTGTTTCATCGGCGAAGAGGAGGCGAGCACAACCTTGGGCTGAGGGAATCGCCACCACAGTACGGCGGATCCGAAGTCAGGGCTCTCCCCTTTTTTAATTGGGTATCAAATCTTGGGAGCCTTGTTCACCCTCGGAATTCCGCTTTTCGAGTGCACAAGCGTCGATTAGCGTCTGGTGGTCGATGCGGTAGCGCCGATTCAGCGTCGATCAGGGTCGATGAGTGTCGATTAGCGTCGTTTTGGCCTCGACTAGCACCGACTAGCAAGAGCCTCCAAGATTGTATGGGAGACTCCCATTCGGCGGCGAGACCAGGGGGGAAGTGAGAAGGGGCGGGCCTTCTCAGAAGGATTGGAAGTCCCCGGGCCTCCTGAGAAGTTTTCCTGGCCCCCCCGAAGACAAAGAAAGCTCCAGAGAAGCCCCGCCGCCTTCGAGAAGGCCTCCTCCTCCTTTTTTCTTGCGAAGGCTGGAGGGCGCGCGGTTGCGCCCGTAGCGTCAGTGGCCCGCGGTGGCCCGCGCGTAAGCAAGACATGCACTATGACAGAGCATAGCGGCAAGAGCAAGAGGGTGACCGAGAGGAAGCAACAATATGGTGATGGCTGCTGAGCAGGAGTCGGGAGACACTGCAGGAGAGGGGGCCCACGTCAGAAAGGCGCCCGGCCGCTACTCTAGCCACCCACGGCCTCCTCCTGCTCCGAAAATCGGTGTCTCTTCTGGTGCCCAACGCGGGCTCGATGCGGACTCGACGCGGACTTGGCGTGGATTCGACGCGGATTCGACACGGACTCAGCACGGATCCGACGAGGCCGACATGGGTTCGCCGCCGACCCCTGAGCTGCCACCGAGCGATTCTTGCCCCCCCCGCCACCGAGCCCCCGAGGAGGAGGAGGAGGAGGAGGAGGAGCAGGAGGAGCAGGAGGAGCAGGATGAGGAGCAGGAGGAGGAGGAGGAGCTGGAGCAGGAGGAGGAGCAGGAGGAGGAGCAGGAGGAGGAGCAGGAGGAGCAGGAGATGAAGCTGAAGGAGGAGGAGGAGGAGGATGAGGAGGAGCAGGAGGAGGAAGAGCAGGAGGAGGAGGAGGAGGAGGAGGAGGAGCAGGAGCTGGAGCTGGAGCAGGAGCTGGAGCAGGAGGAGCTGGAGCAGGAGTAGGAGGAGGAGCATGAGGAGGAGGAGGAGGAGGAGGAGCAGGAGGAGGAGGAGCAGGAGGAGGAGGAGCTGGAGCAGGAGGAGGGGCAGGAAGAGGAGCAGGAGGAGCAGGAGGAGCAGGAGGATGAAGCTGGAGGAGGAGGAGGAGGAGGAGGAGAGGAGGAGCAGGAGGAGCAGGAGGAGCAGGAGGAGGAGCATGAGCTGGAGCAGGAGGAGGAGGAGGAGGAGGAGGAGGAGGAGGAGGAGGAGGAGGAGGAGGAGCAGGGGGAGGAGGAGTTGCCTCCGCACGCTTCTTGCCCCCCCTCCGCCGCCCAGCCCCCGGGGAGGCCTGGCCGCCATGGGCGCCTGCCTCCGCGCCGCCCCCCCGCCGCCGGCCGCTGGGGCGGCGGGGCCCTCCGGCGCCTCGTCGTCGTCGGCGGAGCCCGACGGCCGCGCCGGCGCGGCGCACTCGGCGGGCGTCGCCTCCTCCCGCTCTCCTCCCTGCCTCCCTGCCTCCCTCCTTCCCCTCCTCTCTCCCTCCATCCCTCCTGCTTCTCTGCTCATTCTCCCTCCCTTCTTCCCCTCTGCCTCCCTCCATCCCTCCTGCTCCTCTGCTCCTCCTCCTCCTCCGTCCACCCTCCTCCTCCTCCTCCTCCTCCTCCTCAGCAGCAGCAGCATTATCATCATCATCATCATCAGCATCATCATCATCATCATCATCATCATCATCATCATCATCATCATCATCATCAGCATCATCATCATCATCATTCATCATCTTCATCATCGTTCTACTCTTCCTCCTTCCCTCCTTCTCCTCCCTCCTCCTCCTCCTCCTCCTCCTCCTTCTCATCCTCATCCTCCTCCTCCCTCTTCCCTCATTGCTCCTTCCCCTCCCCCTCCCTCCTTCCCCCGCTCCTTCCCTTCCTCCTTCCCTCATCCTGTCCCTCCAGCGCCCGACCACATAAAGGCCTGGGCCGTCCCAGTCCCCCCACACAACACCAAAACAAACGCACACACATACAGAGAAAGAGAGAGATGAGATAACGTGCGTGTTTTGTTGTCTCACTGCAGAATCCTCCGTGCAAAAGCTTTCTTAGGGAATGCAGTGTTGCTGAGAAAACCCGAGGAAGGACTCTTCATTCAATGACTCTGAAATCCATCCTGTCGAACTCTTAGTCGAGGTCGCTGTAGGATGACTTCATAACAATGAGTCATTCTTGAATAATGCTTCATACATGATTAGTACTGAGCACATCCTTGTTACAGGATCCTTTTTACGGAATCATTACTGGTTAATCATCGTGATGGAATCCATTTCAAGGAACCTTGACTAAGAAACCTTTGTTAAGGAACCCGTACTCAGGAATCCTTGAAACAGGAGTCCGCATTCAGGGGTCACATCTAAGGAGTCGTGTGCGATGAATCCAGATTGCGCAGCGTGTGCGAATGCAACATTATTGAAGAGACCTTATACAGAGGCTTCCCACAGAATTCTTAGGTCCCTTAGGAATCTTCTCTGAATCATATTGGGTAAAAGAGTCCGGACCGTGGAAGCCGTACCGAAGAATCCTGATCTAACCGACTCTTCAAGACGGGGCCATCTCTCAAGAGTCCTTCAGAAACGGATCCTTACCGAAGAACGTCCTGGACGAACCCGTACAGAGGAATGTGTTCCAAGGAATGCACCCAAATCCATCGCCACAGGGCTGAATGACAGAGCCTCCAACGGATGGGAACCATTAAAAACACACGAACGTGCTCGAATCATGAACCATTAAAAACACATGGGTTTCAAGTCCGACGGCCAGCACCTCACGCAAAGCACATGTTTTTTCTGTTTCGAGCCCTCGTGCTTTTGTTTTTACCGGAGCGCGCATAGACCCACGAGCACCTTAGCAACCAGGAACACATGTGTTACCCGTGTTTGCTGGCCCGTTGAACCGCAAACATGTGTCTCCTGCAGTCGGTGTTGACCCTCGTGGCCTCGCACGAGGCGCCACGCTTAAGAGAGATCCTGGCTCTTTCTGACGAATCTCTGCTGGAGAGGAGTACAGAGCCTTCCAAATTAATTCTGAATGCGGACTCCTTGGCAAGGACTCCTTCCCGAATCACCCTGAACAGCAAGTCTTCTCTGTAGAATCCGCAACACAGAATCCTGTACAAACGGATTCTTTAAAAGGGGTCAGTACGGAAGAGTCTGTCAGAAAGGATCTTTACCAAAGAAAGCTCCGCAGGAAACCGTACCAATAAACCTTTTCGAAGAAGTACTTGCGACCTGAGCGCGACCAGGCTGAGTGGTACAGCCCTGAAGGGTGCCGCACGAGTGGTGTCGTACCACATTTCTTTGTAGAACAGATGTTTTTTTCCAGGTCCGAGGGCTAGCAACCGCTGTCAATAACATGCATGTATCAGATGTTCCAGTTTTTTCTTCATGAAATTATTTACTTGAGGGCACACAGACCCACGAAAGCCTGACACAAAACCTGGCACACATCTTGTTTGACAGTGGTTGCCGGCCTTTTGATTTGAATGTGTATGTCTTTTGTCGCCTTTGCTGACTCTCCGGTTTGACACGGGGCGCCACGCAAATGAGGGATACGGACCCTTACTGAGGAAGCCTTTCCAGAGAGTTCTTCATACATAGCCCCCTATGGATTTCTGAATGAGGAATCCTGCGTAAGGAATCCTTCCTGAGTCATCCTGAACAACAAGTCTTCACTGTAGAATCCGTAACACAGAATCCTGCACACTAGGATTATTCAAGAAGGAGTCATGGATGAAGAGTCCTTGAGGAAGGATCCTTGCTGGAGATAGACCCTAAGGAACACGTGCTAAGAAATCCTTTCTCAGGAGTCCCTACGATTTGAGCGCCAGCAGACTGACTGACAATGCCCCCAAAGGATGCCGCGAGAAAGGGCTCGATCCATCAACCATTGTAAAACAACAGGTGGTTTTGGTCCCAGGGCCAGCAAACGCAGTAGATCACATGTTTGTGCGAGTTTGTTTAGGTATTCTACATCTATCTGCCTGAGCGCACAGATATCCACAACATGAACAACATGAAACACGCATATGTTTTCCAATGTGTGCTGGCCCTCCGACCCGAACACACATGTAGTCTACCGTGTTTGCTCGCCCTTTCGGCTTGACATGAGGCGCCACGAGCAAGAGAGATCGGTGATGTAAGACTATCTCTGTCTCTCTCTCTCTCTCTCTCCCTCTGTCTCGTTATCCCCCCCTCAAAACTCAAAATGCCCAAACACCCAGGGTTTTATAGGGTCTCCATTCCCCCCTCCTCCCGCCTCCTGTCTCTTTCCCCTCCTCCCCCCCGCCGCCGCCGCCTCGCAGCCCGTCCTGCTGTCTCCTGCCTCATCCTCCTCGTTCTCTTCCTCATCCCTCCCGCCTCATCCCTCCCTCCTCCTACTCCTCCTCCCCATTGCCCCTTTCGTCTACCCCTCCCTCCTCCCCAAACCCTTGTCTTGCTCCGTCCCTTCGCCTCCTCCTACCCCTCCTCCCTCCTCCTCCTCCTCCTCCCAGGGGCACAGCGTCGTCGCGGCTTAACTAGTGGAGTGTTCTTCGGGTCGTATCTTGGGTCAGGTCCATGAGCTGTGCTGGATTTGTTTAAAGTGCGGAGGGTGGTCTCAGGGTCGAGCCCGCAAGCTTGCCAAGCAGTGTATCAGCCCTGGAACACACCCCACGAAGAAAAGTCAGGAGGTTATAAGCCGCTACTCCCAGGGGAAGCCACCGAACCGTAAAGTTGAAGCGTTCCTCGGTCGTAGCGCCGTCCTCCCTCGTAACCCTGCGGTTGAGTGTCTGGCCCCCCTGGAATCCTTTGCGGTCCCTGACTCGACGGAGGTGTCCAGGAGCTTCTCAGCCTCAGGGGTTCCGTCGCATGAGCAGCGGATGGCTGGTCTAGTCGAGAGAATTTATGTAAAGGAAGCCTCTGCAGGCCAGTAATCCTTAACTCGTTTAGTCGTGGTGCTGTGCACTTTCCCTTCGGGCCCTTTCATTCCATTCCGCCCCTCCTCCTCCTCCCGCCCTCCTCCTTCCCCCTCTCCTCCTTGTCCTCCCCTTCCTTGTCCTCCTTGTCCTCCTTCTCCTCCTCCGTCCCCCACCGCCCTCCCGTCGTAAAGAAATTTCGGCCTCCGAGGGCCCTAGCTGGGCCCCTGGACAGCCAAACACCGGCTCAGGATGGAAAGCAGGCCCCGAGGGAAGAGGTCCAGACCTCTGGGGGCCCATGCCGTGGAAACATCGCAACCCAGGAGCTGGTTGCTCTCACCTTCCCTCGGGTTCAGCGTCCTCCCCTTCCTTTGGGCCGAACATGTTAGGGGACCTGCCCTGCCCCCCTGACTGGGCCATCTGCGCCATATCCGAGGCCACCCGAGTGTATCCGAGGCCCGTGCGGGGCTCTGCGAAATTCTGGGGCCAGACGGAGCCATCCCGAAGCAATCCGAGGCTGTCTCGGCGCCAGAGACTGTCCCTCTCCTTTTTGAGCTCCTGTATTCAAAGCCGGGCCGTCTGAGAAAACAGCCGTCGAAAATGCTTTTTGGTTGGGGGGGTGGCAATAGGGAGCTTATGAGGAAAATCGTGGAGGCCTCGCGCGGCGCGTAATGGGTGTATTATCTAGTCCACACGTCAGCTCCGTAAGCTATGGGTCGACGCTCGCGAGGCAATGCTCCAGCGTCAGTCCGACGTAGATCCGACGTAACTCCGACGTTGCCCGACGTAAATCCGACGTGGATCCGAGGCAAATCGGTCTCAAGTTGCTGCGCGGGGCCTCCAGGATGTTCCTCATAAGGGGGTGACCTAAATGGAGGGGGAAGAAAAGGGCTCCCTTTCTTCACCCCCCGTTTAAGTCACCCCCTATTGCCACGATTTACGCCCTGGGTCGAGCGGATGCAGGGACTCGCGTCTCCACCCAGCAGGCCGGTCGCGGGATTGGATACCACCTGGATCTCCATCGCACCGTCGACTTCACCATGTTGTCATGTGCACAGTTATCGGCGGTGAGCCGGGTGGGGAAGAGAGAAGAGGCGGGCCTTCTCAGAAGGATCCGAAGTCCCCAGACCTTCTGATAAGATTCAGAGCCTTCCCCGAAGACGCAGAACATGTTGCGGCGCTCCTTCTTCCTTCCCACTTCCCCCCCTCGCTCGCCGCCGAAGTTATGTACACGCAGCATTGACCGCTTCACCACAGGCCCCCCACGCGTTCCACCTTTCTGGTCGGAAATTCTCGCGTGTTAGGCACCGTGTTCTGCGGTTCGCGTTGGCACCAGGACAAGAGAGGACAAGAGACAGTTGGCCGTTCCCAGCAGAATTATTGTATGTCGCTTGAGACAGTTCATCTGTCCCGATTTGAGACAGGTCGTTACTTTTAGTTAGGACAGCTGGGTTTGCTCATCCCGCGTTTCGCGTCTTGTTCTTCCCCATCCCCCCTTCCCTTTCTCCCTTGTGTTTTGGCAGTTCGGACAGGCGTGGTGGTCCAAGGTTGTAGCAGCGACGTGGCAACGAAGCGGCATTCGCGCTTGGACGATGCCGTTTGATACGTTATCGGGAATGGTGTTCCTTGCGTTCCGATGGCGCCGGTCCTGATCGTCGCCCAAATGAAACCTGTCGGGGTTCTGTAAACCCACTGTATCAAACCGCCCTGCTCCGATGATTGTGCCCTTTTATGCTCCGTAGCCGCTTGGGCTCAATCGCGCACATCTTGTTCGGAAGTCCACGGGCTCCGCAGACGCAGACTGGATTTGCCAGCAGCAAAGGACGTTCAAAGATAATAGGGTTCTGCCAGCGGGGAAGTTTGCATCGGGAACGCGTATGCATGCATAGATGTGTCTTCTCATTGGTTCTTGTGCAAGTGGCGGGCAGACTGCCAAACACGTGTGACCGTTTGCGCGCATGCCTTGCAGCCGAAGCAGCTTTCTCGGGGGGAGGGGGGCGTGGGTGTTTGCGTTGGGCGTGGCGGGGAGCGCGGCCTGGAGGAGAGGGGGTGGGGAGGAGGGGGGCCCGCGTGGTGTTCTTCCCCGTCCCTTGCATGGCATCCCTGGGGGAAGCTTTGCCTGCCCAACATGCTGCCGCACGGTAGGCTTGCGTCGTGCCCACAAGGCGGCCAGGCCACCACAGCGCGGGCGCTCGAGGTGGAGCGCCGCCCGTGGCCCAGAATCTGCCCAGAAACCATCGCCGAAGTCGGCACGCCACGAACCTGCCTGCCGTAGTCTCTTGTTGTCCCCCTCGCGGGTTCGACGCGGATCCGACGGATGCGACGTGGATTCGGCGCGGACTCGACGTGGGCTCGCAGATGTGTGGTGCTGCAGCCTCAGAGGAGGAGGGCCATTGTGCACGAGCTTGCGTTTCGCCATTTCCTTAGCCAGCGCCTGCATCTCCTGCCACATCATTTCATGTTCTCTCCTCCTCCACCGCCTCTCCTTTCCTCCGCCTCCCCCTTTCCGAGGCGGTCGGAGTGGGGAGGACAAGGAACAGGATGAGCAAGAGGAGAGGGCGCACGACGAGAAGGAGGAGGCATCCCCCTCCTCCCTCCCTCCTCGCCCGCTCTCCTCCCCCACCCGCCCCCGCCTCATTCCTCCCTCTTCCCCCGTCCCCTCCTTCTTTTAGGGGAACGGAAGATGGCATAAACATACAAACTCGGAGGGCCACGCAATTCCTTGGATCGGCGCTGGACCCCCCTCCCTGGCGCGCGGAGCGCTTGAGGAACCGCGCCAGAGGCGCCGCCAGGGGGTCCCAGCGCCGATCCGAGGAATCCGCGCGGAACTCCGAGATTTGAGGAGGAGGAGGAGGAGGAGGAGGAGGAGGAGGAGGAGGAGGAGGTTGAGGAGGAGGGGGAGGAGGAGGAGGAGGAGGAGGAGGAGGAGGTTTTGTGTGTGTGTGTGTGTGTGTCACTGTTTGTTCCCCCCCGTCCCCCCCCCTCCGAGGCGGTCAAGCGGCGGGTGCCGGAGCCTTCGGCGCTGTGGGGCCAGCTGGCCGAGGGCGTGCGCCTCGCGGGGCACAGCAAGGCCACGCAGCGCGCGGTCGTCGTCGTCGTCGTCGTCGTCGTTGTGGTTGTGGTTGTGGTTGTTGTTGTGGTTGTTGTGGTTGTTGTTATTGTTGTTGTTGTTGTTGTGGTTGTGGTTGTGGTTGTGGTTGTGGTTGTGGTTGTGGTTGTGGTTGTGGTTGTGGTTGTGGTTGTGGTTGTGGTTGTGGTGGTTGTTGTTGCTGTTGTTGTTGAACTCTCATTCTGAAGAATGATTATTGTTGATCCCCCCGTCCGGTGCACATTGTTTTTTTGTCGATTGAAGTGCCATTCCCCGGGGCTCGCACCTGGCCTTTTATCCGGGAAAGTCTTGAGGGTCAAACTGCGTTGTTGGCCCCCGGTTTACCACAATAACGGCTCCCGCCTGATACTTTCTCACAATGTATTGAAGAATCGCGCTCTCGCTTCCCACCCCAACAATCTCCACCCCTTCCGCTCGCATTCCGCATTTCTCCCAAACTATTCCCAGTCCCTCCTCCAGATTCCTCCGTGCACCCCCCGCTCCTTACTCCTCCCGGTTCCTCTTCTCCACTCCTTGCCGCTCCTCTTCCTGAGACCCTACTCTTGTCCACTCCATCCCAATCCATTCCACATCCCCGCTATCTTTCCGCCCCATTCTCCCAACATCCCGCTTCTTTTTAGGGTTCCACGGAATTTGTTTCTGACAACAGTTCGCAGTTGTACGTCCCCCCATGGGGGTATCCACAATATGTTCTTTCAAGGGGGTGGTACGTTGCGCTGTTTATGACGCGACCCATGGCGAAACTTATTGCTTACCTGTGTTGGAGTGGCTGGCGCAAGCCATGGCGCAAGCTGAATCGCCACTCGCAGCGCAAATCATCGTCCTCCCTATGTCTTGCCCCTCCCCTCCCTTCCTCCGATCCCTTCGCCCTCATTCCCCCCCGCTATCTGTTACCCTTCGTTTTCAAGGACTTCCACAAACCACGCGCGGCAGGGAATGAGTATACCCCCCAAGTGGGGCACGATCGAAGACGGAAAGGGCGGGCATCCAGGGTTTGGGATATGCATATTGCATGACGCGCGAGCATATAAGAGCGAACGTTATTTAAATGATGTTCGTTGTTGTTGTTGGTGCGGTTGTTGTTGTGGTAGGAGGCAAGTCCACTAAGTTGGCGGAGGCGTAGCCACGACGACAAGGGCTCCTGCTCGATACTTCCTCACGGTTTACCCCGAGAGCCCCTGGCCAAGAAAACCCTCGAACTCAGGAACGGCGCTCTCGCTCGATATTCTCCCGTAGTTCAAGCAAGCTGGTGGCCGCCCGGACACGGCGACAAGGGCTCTTGTTCGATATTCTGTCCCTAAGTATTCAGAGAACCCCTAGCCGGAGAGGCCCCCGAACTCAGGAATGGCGTTCTCGCTCGAGATTTCTTCGCGTTTCAGTCAGGGGCCGACAAGGAAAATACTCCCTGTGAAAAGGGGTGCAATCGAACATGCAGTGGGCGGGTATCGAGGGCTCGGGTATACGGAATGCAAGACACGCGTGCCACTAAGAGCGAACAGTCTTAACATTATAGTTGTTGTTGTTGTTGTCGACGTCGTTGCTGTTGTTGCTGTTGTTGTTGTTGTTGTTGTTGTTGTTGTTGTTGTTGTCGTTTTAGTCCCCGTCGTCGTTGTTGTTTTCGTCCTCGTCGTCGTCGTCGTCGGCCCGCCGCCGCCGCCGTCGCCGTCGTTGTTGTCGTCGTCGTCGCCCATGTGGGTTCAAGTGCCATCAGAGCATCGACCTCAGTTCCACGACAAACTTCCCAGACGTTAACCCCCGGGCTTCGCTTGCCACGCATTTTGTCTGGCCCAACCAACCTATCACATTTCGACGAGTGGTCGCTTCTGCTTCTTCGGCTGCCGATGCTGTTGTCCCTCAGGCCGCGGGCCTTCTCGCAGCTCCGAGTTTGCCAGATTTCGGACTTGGTGGGCCGCCCGTTGCGCCGATCAACGTTGACAAAATGCCCGGGGGAAAAACAAACATCTCGACGGTGGCGTGACTGGCATCGACGAGGACGCGATCGAGACTGACGACGGGAAAAAAGATGTCCAGCTTTCGGCGGGAGCCGCTCTGCAGTTGCGCAGACCCTAGCAGCGTTCCCTAAAGGTGTGGATGCATGTGAAGCTATGCGACTCGTGCTTTCACGAATGATTTTCGCAAAGTCATGGCCGAATAGCTTTATCCCCTCGAGCTGAGAGTACACAATTGCGCCACCAAGGTACAGAACATCGAGAAGAGTGTGGTTGGCCTGCGCAACGAGTTCGGTGACTTCAAGGTTCGGGCTGGCGTTTTTGAGAGCGGTGGCAGTGGAGGTGGCGCAGGATATGCTGGAAATGGTGTTGCACGCGACCCTCGCGTGGGCAGCGACAGCGCAAACTCGTAGGGATCAGCTATCTGGCCATCGGTTTACCGCACCCCCGTAAACAAGAGGCACACCGTGTGTGTCGGTGGTTTTCAGTACATGCGTTGAAGATATCGAGATTCCAAGCACTTTGAAAGAGACGCTCAGAGCCACATCGTTGAAGTGAGCAGTTTTGTCGCAGCCGACTGTTACGCTGACAGGTTTCAGATTGAGCTCGGGAGTTCACAACGCACGTGGGACTGCAAGGTGAACACGAAGAGCAATCAATTCAGCGCAGTTTTGTCGTCCAGGCACGTTCGCCTTGCCTGATCCATTGTGGCAAATGACAGGTGCGGCACACCATTGACAAGTTCCCTGAGGAGCTGTCCTGACAGAGCCGAGCTTCCCACGCCAAGAACTTTGCGAAGCCAAAGTTGGAGGCCACTTGGCCGACTCTGACGGAAGATCAGCTGCAGCTCATGGCTGCCATTTTCATGGAAGGGGTTTCGGTGATTTTATTGCGCAAGTATTGGCCGCCAGAGGTGATGCCGCGGAACCCGATGAAGACCCCGATGCGCAGCTGTCGCACTTTCGACCTGGAGGTCGCGAGCGGCGCCCAGGGGTGGTTCGGCGCGGTCGGCGAGGATATTACTTTGAGTCAGCACCTGGGCAAGATGAACGGCCCGCCGCGCCGCGCTGGGCTTCCTTCTGGCGACGACACTGCTATCCTCTCTCGGATTTGTCGGACGGGGTCCTTTGAAGAGTGCCCCGCGGGGGCTAGAGCTTCTTGGAGCGGAGTTCCACTGGGCCATGTTCTGCAATCGAGAGTTCACGACGTGCGACATTTTGCAAACGACGAGACAGCTGGCCATCCTGCAACCCCAGGGCTGCCCCATACCGGGGCTGAAAATGGGACCAGCGATCGCGGTGCATGAGGCGCTCAAGGCCATCTTTTTGATCGACCCCGCGCTAGGCCTTTCTTTTTGATCGACCCCGCGCAGATGCCGACGCCTCCGTCGACGCGAACAGACCGGCCGCGACTACGGCGGGCTCTTGCACTGCCGGCGCGAAAACCTGAAAGACAGACGCGTTCCACGTGTTCGCAGAGAGCAATATTCCCATCCTGATCAACGCCTGGAACGAGCCCAAAGGCAGGCTCCTGCGCGTGCTTCTACGACGGGAAGTCAAAGCCGCGCCGTCTGGACTTCGTCAGCTTGTCGGATCGCGCGAAGTTCTTATGATTCTCAGCCGCGACGCTGCGCGGCATGTAAGAGTGACCATTGTCCCTCGTCGCTCGATTGTTTGCCGCTCGCAGGCCGAATTCAGAATATTATCCGAGCGTGGCGCGCGGTGTCAAGATTAAGCCTGCGCTTTGGCTCTCTGATCGCATTTCTGCCGGGCGGGTCGAGGACGCGGCGGGAGTCGACCGTAGTTTCAGGACAGATAATGGGCCCAGTGACGTGCGTTTTTGCTTGTGCAGCGACGAGCGTGTCGCGCCAGATTCGAAGCCACAAACCCACGGGTCTGTAGTCTTTCTGGGCCTAGGGCCCCCCCAGCACTCGAGGGCCCTCGGGGCCCTAGTCGAACCAATCTTCCACGCGCGTAGTTCGTCAATCTCGGCCCAGCGGACCAGGGCTACTTAGCGAGCATCAGGCGCACTAGCAACGCCGCTGAGTTGTCGGGGGCGCTCGAGACGCCTCCGGCCGCTGGGTTTGCATCTGCCGATGGGCCAGGCCATCGCCCCGATGGGCGCCCCGCTGGAGGTCGTCTTCGATTCGACTTGCGTCCCAGGGGTCCCTGAAGGGAAGTTCTGGCCCAGACGCAATGTCATCCTGTCGTTCTTGGCTCGGTGCATCTGGGGCCTGGCGCAGCGGGGCCCCCCTGCGTGTTTTTTCCGCGGGTCAAGGGATGTTGCGCCGCAGTTGATCGCTCAGCTGACGCCGGGGGCCGCGATGCCCAGGGGCCCCGCGGGGGCTCGCAAGTGGATCCGCCGTCGCCCATGCGCCCACCCAGTTCTGAATGTTCAGGGGCTCCGCCAGTGCCCGGGAGATGCCGACGCCCCCGACGTAGAGTTGCAGCTCATTCTCTGACCTTTGCCCCCAGCACAACCAGCTGGGATCTTCGGGCCGTCTTCTGGCGAGGCCCTGGGCGGGCCTCGCAAGACCGTTTTCGCCGAGCCGACCTGCAGCGCAACGGGGTGTTCCACGCTCCGAGCGGGTAACAGCGAGGCGCGACCGCCCGATTTCCCTTTGCCTTCCCCCGGGCGTGTTTATCCTCGGCGGCGAGCCAGATCGCCGCGAACAGCGGCGAGAAAGCTTCCCTGGGACAACCTCGGGCATCGATGGGGGCATCCCTTGAGTCGAAGGATTGAAACTGTTCGACGAGCGCGGGAGGTCGAGGAGGGCCCTGCTGCGAGGCGCACGGTGGCGATGTTGTCTGGCAGCGTTCTCGAAGACTGAAGGGATCCGAAGCTGATTAAGCGGGCGCGGCAGCAATGGGATCTCTCGATTTTAGATTCCTTGCCCGAGAGGCTAGATGCCTATTTGATCAGTAAGTGTTGGCCGGACTCCAGCCGGGAGCCCGTTGCAGGGGGGGTCAGGTCGCCGCGGCAATTTCGAGTGCTTTCAACGCGGAAGCCCCGGGTATCCTCGCGGAGTTGTTTGGCTTGCGCCCAGTTGACCGCCCCGGCAAGGCGCGAGGCCCCATCTTTCGACGGAGCCAAGCCATTTGGCTGGCCAAAGTGCGCGGCGCGCGCAAGGTGTCAGATGTGGGCCCGTCGCCTGCTGCGTTGATTATCGATGTGCCTCGGAAGGCTGGTCGAGCTCATCAGCATGCTTCTCTCGCGTTTTCAGTTTGTCTTTCGCCGTGGCTATCCGGCGCGCGAGGTGGCGGCCGCTGTGCGAGCCCTGGTGGAAGGGGCAGTGCAGTTCCGAGACCCGCCATGCCTCGGGGGGGGGGCCTCCATGACGCATGCGATCACGCGCGTCATGCCCATATCTTGCGCAATCACACGAAGCGCGACGTATCTCGCATACTTACAGCAGCACGGCTACGGATATTCCGAGAGCCATTCTGAGTTTTTACATCCGGGGGTCGCGCCTACTAGGGTGAGTTCCTGGACGCGCATTGATTGCAGGGGTTCAGAGGATCCGAGGCTTCTCGGCCAATTCCTGGACGCCCCATTTGCAGAGTTTGTGACTCTGTGCGGTAAAAGTGGCTGGGGGCATCCACTGCAGCCCGCAGACCTTGCGACTCTTGGGCGCCCGAACAACAAAAACGCCTCACACAGGAGCTCCAGATCCAGCAGAGATTGCCCATCATGGTCTTCGCTGAAATATCGAACTGTTCGCCAGTTCGCCGCAGCTGCTATGAGCGATGCGGATCTCGCGGCATCGCCATCTTTAGGACTCGGCGCTCGTGCGCGGCGCTGCCCACAGGCTGACGCTGGACGACGGCAGCAGACTCGGCGGCGATATTCCGCACAGCAGAGGGATTAGTTCCACGCATCCCCCGTGGAGGAGGTTTCAGGATGCTGGGGGCCTGCGCCACGAGGGGCAAGTCAGCTACAGAAGCTCTGCGTCGTGGTATCCGCGGGGCCTGGGTTGCGTTCGGGAAACACGCGTCTTCCCTTTGCAACCGCAGAACCAGCCTCGGGAAACGCCTTGGGATCCTGGATTCGACGGTTCGGCGGGCCGCTGTCTTTTGCTTCGGAGGCTTGAATTTCACGCGACAGGAATTCAACTGAATTCGAGCAGCCCAGACCAGGATGCTTTAGTACATGGTCGGCTTCAACCGATATACAACCGGTGCAAACCGATATGCAGCGTTTACACCGACAGATGGCCGACAATGCCAATATCACGCCGCCACCTGTTGGAATGACTGCGTCCTGGTGTTGAATTATCGACGGCTTGGGCTTCTCGCCAAGATGCGTGCACGACCCCGACACCATTTCATCGCTTGCCCGTCGGAACAAGGATTTCAGCGGAGACCCATGCCAAGAAACACCGTGCTTGCCTCCAGGGTGTGTTGGGTTTCTTGGGTTTCGGTGGCTTTGCTGTGGAAGGCGTGACGTTCCCACACCAACAATCCATGGACGCCCTAGGGTCTCAGGTTTTTTTGTCTGGCAGGTTTTTATGTGTGGGCTTGCCTCCACTGTACGCGTTTCGTGTCTCGAGGTGGGAACACACAAGTTAATCAAAAGTATGGCCTGGGCTGGAAGATTGTCGCCCTGGGCTCTGAAGAATGGCGTGCCTCCGATACATATTGGCTTTCCTGGAGGAGACAAGTGTTCGGAGCCCTTCGGTCGGATCAGAAACCAAAGCGATGCGAGGACGCCCGATGGGTACATTTGAGTTTCCAGCGCTACGCCGCTTTAGCCTCTGAGCCCGTTTATCATAGGACCGTTGGTGCCTGATTGTGTGTTTGGATCGAGTTGGGGGATTTTGCAACGTTGCTTCTCGCATGTAGATCCTGTCGCGCCTGGTCGCCCAGGCATACCTTTTTTCAGACTTCAACGCTCACCAACCGCCAGGACTTCAGCGTCGCCTCGGGGCGCGTCGCCGTCGTCATCGTCGTCGTCGCCCGTCGTGGCTCGTCGTTTCCCACCTCCCCACGAGGAGGGGCTGGAGGGGAAGCAGGGGCAGGGAACAGGACGGGAGGAGGGAACGTCGGCCTGCGCATGAGGGCTGCGAGCTGCCCCCGTGGAGTCCCGAGCCTTCGGCCCCAGTAGCTCTGAAGGGGGCGGCTCTGGCTTCACCCAAGATGGATCGATCATGGGTCACCCGCAGGGGAACGAAGGCAGCCGCGCTGTGTCCTCCGCGGGCTGGGCTGGAGGGATGTCTTTCTCTTGGCGGTGCGTTCGGGAGGGAAGGCATAGGGGGGGGGGCCTTCTCTGCAGGCTCAGAAGGTTTTCGGTGTTGTGCTCAGTTGTTTTGTGCCTTCTCCGAAGCCACAGGGGGCCATTCAGAAGGCAGACTTGATGCCCCGCCGCCTTGTGAGAAGGCCTGCGCGCCGCAGATTCTCCAAAAGGGTGCCGCGAGGGCGCGAATCTGATCCTGAGGTGAAGTCGATCTCGGCCTCTCAGGTGCAAGCGCGGCCTTTGTTTGGGCCCCGAGTCAGCCCCGACCCCCTGCGAGGTGCAGCCAACTGCGAGGTGCTGCCAAGGAGGCTCGATCGGTCGGTACGTTCTTTCGGCGGCGCGCCCAGTTGGAAGGCAGAGGGGGCGGGCTTCCTCAGAAAGCTTGGGAAGCCTCCAGCCTTCTGAGAAGCTTCCTGAACCTCCATTTTTCAGGAGGCTGGAGGGTTTCTGAGGACCCCCGCCGCCTTCTTAAAGGGCCCGCCCCTTTTCACTTTCTTCCTGGGCGCGCCGCCGTTGCCCTGGGGGTTGGCGGTTGTCGATTTAGCGCTTGTGCAAGTTGGTGTTGCAACTCTGTAAGCAAGTAGTCGCCTCCTGGATCCTGGTGGAAGCCAGCGGAGCGTCGACCGATCGGACACAGACTAGACCTCGTCCCCGCTAGTTACGGCCAGCGCATAACTGTTCCGCTGTCTCAGCCCTTTGGGGGACCAGCGGAGTGCTGCACTGCAACGCAGAGTAAAGATCGCTTTAGGGAGGCAAGAGGGGGCGAGAGGAGGAAAGGGTGATGAGTAGGACAAGACGGGAGAGGAGGGGGAGGAAGAGGATGAGCAGGCGCAGGAGGAGGAGGAGGCTTCGCCGCCTCTGCGATCTGCGAAGGCAAGCGAGGAGAGAGAGAGAGAGAGAGAGAGAGAGAGCAGGGGGAGGCGCAGCAGGAGCTCCTCGCCCCCCTGCGCGATATCCAGGAGGAGCGAGAGGAAGAGGAGGAGTAGGGGATGACGATGACGATGATGATGATGATGATGATGATGATGATGATGATGATGATGATGATGCTGATGATGATGAAGATGAAGATGCTGATGATGAAGATGCTGATGCTGATGATGATGATGATGATGATGATGATGATGATGATGATGATGATGATGGTGATGGTGATGGTGATGGTGATGGTGGTGATGGTGATGACGATGATGATCATGATGATGATGCTGCTGATGATGATGATGGTGGTAGTGGAGATGATGATGATGCCGATGATGGTGATGATGATGATGGTGATGATGAGGATGATGATGATGATGATGATGATGACGATGATGATGATGATGATGATGATGATGATGATGATGATGATGATGATGATGATGATGATGATGGCGCTGGTGATGATGGTGATGGTGATGTTGATGATGATGATGATGAGGAGGAGGAGGAAGAGGAGGAGGAGGACGACGACGACGAGAAGGAGGACTTCTACGTTGAGTTTGGCGGCGACGCTGGCGACGACGACGACAATGCCGCTGACGCTGGCGAGGCCGACGGCAGCAGCGACGCCGACGAGGGGTATTTCGTTGACGCTCGTCGCTGGCGGCAACGACGGCGAGCGCGGCAGGGGCAGGGCGGCGGTGGCGCCACGCCGCGCTCGTCTGGCGTCGCATTCGAGCTGCAGCTGCGGCTGGACGCTGGCCGGCAGGTGCTCAGCGACAAGGCACCCCGTCGTCGTCCTCGTCGTCGTTGTCGTCTTCGTCGCCGTCGTCGTCGTCGTCCTCGGCGACAGCGTCGTCGTCGTGGTCGCCGTCTTCGTCATCCTCGTCGCCTTCGGCATCTTTGTCGACTTCGTCGTTGTCTTCGTCGTCGTCGTTTCGGTCGTCGTATTGGTCGTCGTCGTCCCGCCCCCCATCGCCCGCATACTTCCCCTTCTCTGCCTCCTCCGGCGCCTCTTTCTTCCTCCTCCTCCTCCCATTCCCCTCCTCGCCCTCTTGTTCCTTTTCTGGTGTCTCCTGCTCTTGCTCCTCTTGCATGTGGATTGCCCCCCCTCGCTCAAACGGGGAGTCGGAGCAGGAGGAGGCGGGGGGCCTATTCCGCCCTTCACCTCCTCTGCCTCCTCCGACGCCTCTTCTTCCTCCTCCTTCTCCCGTTCCCCTCCTCGCCCTGCGATTCCCTTTCTGGTGTCTCCTGCTCCTGCTCCTCTTGCATGTGGGTTGCTCCCCTTGCTCAAAGGGGGCGTCGGAGCAGGAAGAGGTGGGGGGTCTATCCCACCCTTCACCTCCTGCACTTACTCCTCGAAGAGCCACCGGCTTCGCGCCGTGCTAAGCAATGGGATGCTGTAGCCTGAAAGCTTCCTCCCCCTCCTCCGCATGTCTCATCTTGCTCCTTGTCCTTATGCTCCGTCTCCTTCACCTCCTCATCATTCCGCTCTTTCCCCCCTCGCCGTCTCCCAGAGGAAGGATAAGTAGAAGGACGGGGATGAGGACGAGGAGGGAGGATGAGGAGGAGGAGGAGGAAGAGGAGGAGGATGAAGAGAATAAGGAGGAGGAGGAGGAGGAGGAGGAGGAGGAGGGGTGGGAGTAGGAGTGGGAGTGGGAGCGGGAGTCAAGTTGGCCAGGTCTAGTGAATCAGAGGGCCACGCCCATTTTTATTTCCCCACACAACATGATAATCAAGTGTGGCACACTTCGATGTGGGATTGAAATGCATTCGGAAATGCGTTCCCATCTCGCAAACCGAAGGCGTTCTCGCGCGCCCCCACTTCCGACGACGTGGCGAGAGGGAACCGACGCGGGCCGCGCAGGGGCGGGGGCGGCAAGACTTCTGATATAGGAGTGGCGGAGACGAAGCATGCGCCATGCTGACACAGCACTGGCACTCCCACTCACAGACTGCGCGGCGCTTGGGCGAGGTCAGAAAGAGCGTGTTCTGTGGTCTCTTGGGGGGGGGGAGGGTTTGGAACTGGAATCCCCCCCCTGGACAGAGGGGGGGGGTTCGACCCCCCCCCCCCTCCCGTGACGGAGGGGGGGGGGTTCAACCCCCCCCTGCTTCCCCTCTCCTCGGGCCGGCGCTTGCGTCGGGGCGGCGGCGGCTGGCGACGGCGGCGGGGACGACGATTTCCATTTCTGGGCCGGCATCGGCAAGTGCCTGCGGCGGCGGGCGGCGGTGGCGGGGAGCGTCGACGAGGACGACGGTGGTGGTGGTGGTGGTGGTGGTGGTGGTGGTGGTGGTGGTGGTGGTGGTGGTGGTGGTGGGTTGTGGCGGTGGTGGCGGTAGCGGTGGTGGTGGTTGTGGTGGTGATGGTGTGGTGGTTTGTTGTGGTGGTGGTGGTTGTGGCGGTTGGTGGTGGTGGTGGTGGTTTGGTGGTGGTTTGGTGGTGGTGTGGTGGTGGTTTTTGGTGGTGGTGGTGGGTTGTGGTGGTGGTGGTGGTGGTGGTGATGGTGGTTTGGTGTTGGTGTGGTGGTGATTTGTGGTGGTGGTGGTGGGTTGTGGTTGTGGCGGTGGTTTGTGGAGGTGGTGTTGGTGATGCTGGTGGCGGTGGTGTTGGTGGTGGTGTGGTGGTTTGTGGTGGTGGTGGTGGTGGGTTGTGCTGGTGGTGGTGGTGGTGGCGGCGGTGGGTGTTCTGGTGTGGTAGATTGTGGTGCTGGTGGTGGTAGTGGTGGTGGGTTTTCGTGGTGGGGGTGGTGGAGGTGATGGTGACTTGTGGTGGTGGTTGTGGTGGTGGTGGCTGTGGTGGTTGTGTTGGTTATGTGCTGCTGTTGGTGGTGGTGGTGGGTTTTTGTGGTGGTGGTGGCGGTGGTGGTTGTGGCGGTGGGTGTTCTGGTGTGGTAGATTCTGCGGGTGGTGGCAGTGGTGGTGGGTTTTTGTGGTGGTGGTGGTGGTGATGGTGCGTTGTGGTGGTGGTTGTGGTGGTGATGGTAGCTGTGGTGGTTGTGTTGGTTTTGTGGTGTTGTTTCGTGGTGGTGGTGGTGGGTTGAGGCGGTGGTGGTGGTGGTAGTGGTGGTGGTGGTAGTGGTGGTAATCGTCGCTGCGTCCCCGCCGTCGCCGGCGCCAGCGCCGGCGCTGCTGGCCGGCGCCAGCGCCAGCGCCGGCGCGAGGGGTGGGGGTGGGGGGGGGGTTGGAACCCCCCTCCCCCAGCGCCAGGGGGCGGAGGGGGGAGAGAGGGTTTGAACCCCCCCCCCTTGAGCTGCCTCTGGTCATCGTCGCTGTGTCCCCGCCGTGGGCGCTGCTGGCGGCCGCCAGGGCCGGCGCCGAGGAGGGGGGGGTGGGGGGTTTGAACCCCCCCCCCTCTCTGGGAGGGTGGGGAGGGGGGTCGGGAGGGGAGGGGTTTGGGGGGAATGGAGTCCCCTTGGTTTTCATCGACAGCGCCGAGTGTTGGGGGGGGGGGCCCGCCCCCCGGTTTCAAACGCGCCGCCGAATGTTCTCAAGGTGTTCTCAAGGCATCCCAAGGCACTCGCCCGTGAAACGCGTTCTCTCCGAGGTCAGCACCCGTCGCTCGCATGCGCTGTGGCGAACGAGCCATGCGTCGCGCCCGCGCAGGACACCACCTCCGAGCGACCTGCGCACGGAGCCTGGGCGAGGGCGGCCCAGCGACCCTTCGCGCGGGCCCCAAAAGCATTTGCGAGTAACCAAGATGCAGCCGCGCCGTTTGTTCCGACGCGCGGTCTTCAGTCCAGCCAATGGGGGAAACGCCGCCTCGGGTGCAGGGTTTTGCCGGAGGTTTGCCGCGGTATCGGTTTCGATTCCTGGGGCACGTTTAGTGCAAACGGCGCGACGATATGATGCACCCCGCCGAAGTGGGAACGCCCCGCTCGCGCGTCGGCGAACTGGCGTACGATGGCAAGTGTGCGCCGCGCCCAGTCAGGAACTCGACTTCCCAGGAAAATGACAGCGTCGCGGAGGCGATAGCGACAGTTTGGCCTTTTTCACGGGACGTGGGCCGCGCCCCATGCCTGTAACGCATTCTGCAACGTGGGCGTCTGAATATGCATGTTGACGAACAACATGGACTTAACATTGTTTTCTGACACGGAAGATGGGGCCACCAGGATTGGATCTTTATCGGTTGATTGGGTTGGTAGATTGGGAGTACATTCCAACGAAGCAGAAGTTTGTGGGTGGGAGGGTTAGATTGGGGAGGAGTCTCGGGAGGGAGCATCACGGATGGAATTGAGGAGGGGGTGGCGGAGGCGGACGCCGTCGCCGACGCCACGCCGTCGCCGACACGAACGTCGACGCCGATAAGCGACAGCGGCGATGTTGACATTGACGCCGACGCCGACGCCGATAGCAACGATGACGTTGACGTTGATGCCGAAGCTTACGCCGACGCCGATGTCGACGTTGGCGACGACGCCGACGTTAGCGTTGTTGACGCTGACGACGCCGACGACAACATGGACGACGACAATGTCGACGTTGGCACGACGCCAACGTTCACGTTGTTGACGCTAGCGGCGCTGACGACGACCTGGACGACGACGACGACGATGTCGACGTTGGCGACGACGCCGACGTTGGCGTTGTTGACGCTGACGGCGACGACGACCTTGTGACGACGACGGAGACGACGACGACAACGACGATGACGACGACGGTGACGACAACGGCGACGACGACGACGATGACGACGGGGACGACGGGGACGACGAGGGGGACGATGGCGACGACGACGATGGCGACGGCGACGTCGCCTTCGGGTGCAGGCGCTGCGCCGCGCAACCGGCAGCGAGGGGCCTGGCGGCCGTGCCCAGCAGCGCTCCTCGAGCAACCGCTCCGTGCTGTCGAAGAGGATTGCCGGGCGGATCGGAGGGTGGGGAGGGGGAGGAGGAGTGAAGAGGAGTGGGAGTGTCCTGGAGTTCGCCAGGGACCATCCGACGCGCTTGATCGCGCCGAATGCGACAGGCGGCAGCCTCCAAAACAGGGGCCGCTGGATTCTTGTAGCCTGGGTACAGTCCTCGCCTAATTCCCTTGAGATTTCCCAGCCCCTTCTTGGAGCGTTCGGTGCACGCCTGAATTGACTGCCTGGTGTCAACGATGGCCGTTTGGCCACACCAAGGGCAGAAATATAATGAATGCGCAGGCCCAGATATTACGCGCAGCCATCACCACCCCGCTCGCCCGCACGATCCCATCACCGAACGCGACCTGCGCCGAGCCGACATCAATGGCAGTGCAGGGCTGGCCACACGCCTCCAGCACGTTCGCCGAGGGACAAGCACCCGAGCAAAGCGAACGAGTCCACCTTCGGCCAGTTGTCTGTAAGCCGTGCCCGTCAACGCTTGGGAAGCCCGCTGGCGGATCGAAAAACAGGTGGCATCCCACTGGTCAGTGCCGGGCACACGCTGATCCCTGGTGGCGATGTCCCAAGATCTTGGGCGGCTTTGGACGCGAGCTTATCGGCTACATCGTTACCCGACGCGAGGAGAACCTCATCCTCCCAAAGAGTGGGGCCCGAGGGATCAACATGGGAGAGGGTCCACGTCAAAACAATCCCGTCCTCGCAGTCCATCAAGGCCATCCGAATTCGAAACCACAAATCAGAATCAGCACCGTCGTAGTGAAGATAGCGACGGCGGCGCCAACCTTCGAACAAGGGCTATTCTTGGTAACATATTCAAAGTCATCGGGAATGTTGAGAAGAGCTAGTCCGAAGGCTAGCATTTCTGCCCTCGGCACAGTCTGGCGGCGGCTCGTTAAGGTGGAGGCCCAGACTTGGAGGCGAGACCACGCCTCACCATCTCATGCCACCAGCTCAGCCGCAGCGCCGACTCGTCGGCGACGGGGGTCGGAGCTAAAAGCTCCTCCAGGGCCATCTCCAAAGCCCCTCAGAAGACCAGAAAGAGCCCTGGCCGTAGCGACGGCCGCGCCATCCATAATCGAAGACGACGACCCCACATCCCAAGACACGTCCACCCGCCCATCATTGAACGCAGGGAAAGTATCAGATGCGGGGGGAATGCCCCTCAACCACAAAGTTGGATTCGCCTCGTGCCCGACGCTGGCCTTGCGGCAGAAAAAGCCGATTGGCTGAACGCCTTCTGATTACAGCCCTGGGGGCACTCCCAACTATTGTGGAGAGGGGTCTCGAGCGCAAGCACGCATCTAGGACATAGGGGGGAACCTCGTACCCCGCCTCGTGCTGACGGGCGTGGGTCCACTGCCCCCCTGGCGCGACGGCAACAAGGAGACCCTCTTGTTCGTGCTCGTCGCGTTTCTCCAGCCTGCGGACCTCTTGGCGGCCAGGGTGGAGGTCGGCCCCCCAACGAGGTCCTCACCACGAGGGTGGTGACAAGCCTGGCCCCAGAGCGCAGCACGCAACTCGTCCTTGAAATCACCAACGAGCCTCGGGACATCAAAGTCGCCTTCGACAGGCGCCCGATGTCATCACGACCCGGAAGGTGCCGCACCTCGAAGTGGCCATCGCAGGGCCGGTGCCACTCGACGGGGGACCAGAGGCTTCCAACCCTCGTCCGGCAGCGAGGCGACGACGACACCGATCGGACATCGGACCCGACGCCAGCATTGCGAGGCCATTAGATCAAGCCTGCCTCGGATGTGATGCCACGCCCGAGTTATTCAAGTGGGCATTGCAGAAGCATCGATTCCACCTGTCGAGCCACGCGAGGAGGACCTGAGCCCTCAGGGCGGCACGAGGCCCCCGATCCCTGAACAGAGAGACAGCACAGTGGTGAGGCAACGACCTGGAGCTTTGCCGGCGACCGACTGCTCGGCCTGACGACGCATTAGCCGAATTGAGGTCGGCGCTGGCCCCATGGCCAGTTGGCCGTGCACGGCCTGGGGAACCCGTGGGACATTTTTTGCAGCGCGATCGAGCCTGCGCATGCGCTTGATGCGCTGCGCCCGAGGCCGCGCCTTCCTCTGACGGCCCATGATTTGTTTTCCGCCCGACGAGGACCACCCCCCCTGCCACATCCAAGATCGACAGCCTGGGCCGCCGGGAACTCATGTATACCTGCATCACGGAGACACGCAACAACCCTCTCGCCGACACGAGGACAGGATGCAATAACCATGGTGCTGGCACAGACAAGTGATGCATGGCGAACGATTTGGCAAAGGTTTGGCCAACCTGTGGAAGCTGGGCGGCAGCGCCCTCCGCTGTACATTCCACTCGCGCCACGGTGTCATCCACAAAGGTCCAGAACTCCGAGGACGAGACGAGGGCCCGAATCCCATATGCAGCATGAGCCGCCAATAAAATCGGGCCCAGGAAATCCTCGGCAAGCTTGACACCGTGCGCTGGGCCAGCCACGATGGACTTGGCTGGGAAGGTTTAATATGAAGCAGCATTTTTGGAGCGAAGGATCCTTGGAGCCAGGAACACCTGCACCTCCATCCAATGAGGTAGCGATGGAGGGAAAACCCCGCTGGACAGAAATGCGCGTGGGCAGCAGCAGGCTGACGCGATAGCACAACTTCTCAAGTCAAGGATGGGGGCAGAAGTGAAGCCGAGCTGATGAGAGGACTCGTCTAAAATCGCTCTCTGGAGAGCGGCTCTCAAGTCCGACGACCCACGGGTGGCCACGTCCCACAACCCACCGAGGTCCATGGACCACTAGTCCGTGATTGGGCCCCGAGCTCTCGACCACGCGCTCATGCAGGTGGGTAAAACCGAAATGGCGCGATCACCTCCTGATGGTTTTGGAGTGGTCGCGCCATTCGCCAAGATCAGCTGCAGGCCAGGATCCCTTCTGCTCTCCACGGGCCTTGCTGAGCGATATCTCGGAGACGTCTCTTGTGATGCCGTCATCGTCCAGGGGTTCGATCGGCTTGGCACGAGCGTGGGCAAGCAGCATGGTCAACCGCTGCAAAGATCGGAACGAGCACAGTCAACCATGATAGTAAGGATAGGGCAACGTCCCAAGGCTACCCTTGCATCCTTGCCCCTTCGGCATTCGGCATCCTTCGGCTTTCTGCTGCGCTCCGCACGGAAAACGTCAATATGGCGTTCTAAGGCCCCTGCATCCTTTCCGCGCGTCCTTATTATCTTGGCCGAGTGTAGCGTGCGGATCAGCCCACGGCGCTCGCCAACTGCCCGGCTCGTGCTCCACCGCGGCGCCGGGGTCGCCCGTGACAGCCCTGGGCCCGACGGCGGCCGCCTCCAACGGCGCGGGCGGCGGTGGGCCACGACCGCGACGAGGCGCCGGCGAGGGCCTGCTGCGCCAGCAGCCACGCGCCCATGCGACGCCAGCGGCCCTGCGCGAGCCTAACGTGCGCCCCCGCGGGCTGGCAACCCACTGCTCTGCAGACATGGGCGGGCCCAGAAGGAGCGTGGCCAGGCCGAAGCACTCGTCTATGTCCATGGCGATGGCCTCTGGACCAACGAGCTCTGCCCTCGGCTGGGCCCACGCTTGGTCGATCATGTTGAAGATGGGCGCGATGAGCAGGGACCGGCTGCGGCGCATCGGCGGCATGGCGGCGCAAAGCCGCAACGCGGTTGAACAGAGGTGAGAGCGTCCACCGGAGCTCCATAACTGGATTGCGCATGCGCGATCGGCCGGGCGACGGCTGGAGCCTCCGTCACTTGAGCTCGTGCGTCTGAGCCCGACCGCGATACGCAGCCCGCTGTCGGCGTCCAGGACGGCGCCCTCCATGGTCGGCACCCGTCGCGAGTGGGCCGGGGTGGCCTCCTGCACGCCTGGCGCTGGCGTCGGCGGCAAAAACCCATGCAGGAGACGAGCGCCATAACTCCGCCGAGGACGGCGCCACCACAGCGGCGGCTGCTTTGGTCCACGACGCGGCGCCGATATGAACCGGCACCCGCACCTCGCTCGGAGGAGGCGCCCCCTCGGGAGGGACTACGGCGTCGGAGGCCTCCTGAGGCCCAGCATCGAGGCGCGTGCAACGTCGGGCTCGAGCCTCTTCGCGACGCCGCGGCCTCTTGCCGTCGGGGCTGGCGGTCTTCTCTGGGCGAGGCCGCGGGGGCAACTCCCTGGGGGCAGCCAAGGCCTGATGCCACCAATCGGCATGTCCAGACAGGATTTCAATATCCAAGGCCACGTGCGTCTTCCACAGGGGCTTACGCGAATGCGCGCACTTTGAGCCGGTCGGTAAAGCCCCGCTTGACCACGAAGTAATCGATGAGGGGGCCGCTGCCCAGGGTGTTCTACAAGACCGCTCTTGACGAGCGTGGCAAGGCCCACGTTCCAGTCCGCGCAGATGATCCATGGGTCAACCAGGGGCCCCACGAACTGGCTGATGGAACGACGCCGTGGTGCATTAATGCACCAGTCTTGGGCCCAGGGAAAGAGGTAGGCCGACGGGGGCATGGCATTGCCGCGTTGCATATGCAGCGTGCTGGGGCAGAAACCCTCGATGGCCTTGGGCCTCGCTTGGCGAAGGCGCTCCAATGATGCGGCCGCAATGTGGCGCTCGCGTACAATCCACTCTCCACTACGTGAGCCCGTGTGCGAAAGGGCGGAGGCGGCCGCTGGGGCGCCCGCCATCTTCCAGCCGCCCGTGAGCAGGTCGGCCCGGACAGCCTCCATGCCATTCGCTCGCACAGGAGCCCCAGCGAACGCCACCGTCTCGAAGAGGGTGCCAGCGCCGCGCGTGAAGGAGACCGCCTTGGGCCCCATTCGCTGATGTTGGCGAAAGTACCCGAGCAGAACCCGGATTATGCGGCGTCGGTGTTGGAGCTGGCGGCGGGGCAGGCTGGGGGGCGTCGGGAGGATCCTGCTCCGCCTGAGCATCGAACATCTCTTGCTCGGCCTCGAAGGCCTGCTCCGAATCATTGAAGGGGTCGTAGCCGTCGCAATCCAAGGCCGC